TATTATTCTGATATGATTTTGCATTCAATTCATTTTAGATTTAATCTTTTTACAAAAAAAAACATAAGTTTAAGGAGTATATTGTGAATTGACAAAAAAAGGGGAAGTAACTAAAATTGTTTTTAAAACAACTTTGAAATACACAAATTATTTACGACTTAAAGCTAAGATAATCGGTGTTAATTAACAGTGTGTTTGACACCAAAGCTGTCAAGTGAAGCCATGCACTGAAAAGGGTCACTTGAGCTGAGTTTACACAGCTAGTTGAACTTCTTGTTCAGGAAGAATTACGAATTTGCTGGTATTTTAAAGAAATCAGTATATATCTAATCAGTCTGAAGGCTTAGGAATCTGGGTGAAAACGGGTTATTTTACGAATTCCCGGGTTATTTTGACACCCGGTGGGTGTTCCAGTGACCCCTCAGAATTGTGAAAATCTTGGGTCACACCCGCAGGATCCGGGTCAATTGACAGGTATGCTGTTTATCCATATTTTACTTATAAATGGACTTAGTTTTTCTGCCAGTTAACATTACATTCACTCTGTGGTTTAAGTTTTGAAATTTCTTAAACTATCCTGGATTTGTTTCAAACTTGGACAGAAGCTTGGTTATGACCAAAGCTAGTATCTAGAAGGAAATTTTGTAAAAATTTATTTCCTATTTTTCTGTATATTACTTATAAATGCACTTAGTTTTTCTTCCAGTTAACATTACATACAGTCTGCAGTTAAAGTTTATAAAACATTTATAAGTTTCATAAACCATCCTGGATTTTTACCAAACTTGGATAGAAGTTTCTTACAATCAAAAGATAGTATCTAGAGGAAAATTTTTAATAATTTTTCCCCATTTTTGTTGAGCCTGCGACTTTTGTCTTCCAGACAATCTATAGATTTGATTGCATACTGTATTCATTTTTTACAAGCATAACTTTTTTCATACATTTCAAACGTTTTATTTCATTAACTGTAAATCTATTATGTGCATTCCCCTATCACACTGAAAACATAGACAACAGCAAAAGTAGGCGAGACACTGGGTTCTGCAGAACCCTTACGAATTTTTGTATTGACCAATTGAAAACTGAGATCATGCTTTTTGTGCTTCTTAGTTAAATTTTTGTTTGTTTTGAGATTGTGACACAGTGATGACTGCTGTACCCATATTTTGACAATGTTACCTATTATGTCTGTTTTGTTCACACATCGTTGTAAATATAATGGAATTTGATGCGACTGTCATACAAGTGAGAGGTTTAGCGCTATAAAACCAGGTTCAATCCACCATTTTCTTCATTTGAAAATGCCTGTACCAAGTCAGGAATATTACAGTTGTTGTCCATTCGTTTGATGTGTATTATCATTTGATTTTGCCATTTGATTAGGGACTTTCCGTTTTGAATTTTCCTTGGAGTTCAGTATTTTTGTGATTTTACTTTTTATAATGTTTGATTATAAAAAAAAAGTAAATCAACCATCTGGGGGAAAGTATAAGTCATCTAAGAAATTTTATTTTATTTTATCTTTTTATCTGCCGTATATTGATCTACAGATGCAGTTTTGTTTACCCAACACTACGAAGTAGCTGCTTTAAAAAGTTTTTGACCAGTCTGTCAGTCCATCGTTTATCTTGGTTTTTTGATTATATTCAATCCTTTCTAGAAACAAGATGATGGCATAGGGTATTGTGAGGATGCCTTTTACTATTTGATAAATTGCTTTCACCAATGTCTCTACCATATTCATTTTAAGTTTTGTTTGTCAGTAATTTGATTATATCTAAGTGTTTATCTTTAAAAAGGTTATTGTTCATTATGTTTTGCAGTTTTTGCAAAATACAATAATGCCACATAAGCATTAAGGACAATATCCTCTTACTGACAATATGGACTGCATGAATGTCTCAGATTAACAAGATATTTTATCAATTTGTCAGAAATAAGACTTTGCTTTTAAGTTATTAAAAAGAAATGAACAAAGTACATTAAGCTTTGAATTGGAAATTTTTTCTAGAAAGAAAAAGATTTAGGTCTTGTATATTTCTAAGAAATAAAAAGGAATTTTTTTCATTGAATATTTAGAGAAATTGAATATTTAATCCAATTAATTGCTTTTCTGTATTTGTTATAATTAGACTTAAATTGAAAATAATCCTATTATACAAATGTATTTGGAATATGCAACCTTAACATTTAGAAGCTTAGGGTCAATAAATAATCTGGGCATACAGAAGCATAGGTTAATGACTTATTCAAAACATACAGACAGCCAGGATTAATAAAAAGCTCTTAATATGCAGAAGCTAAGCCAAATATATAGAAAGGCAGGGTCAACAATTTACTCCAGACATACAGAAAGTCCATGTCAACAGCTTATCCCTTTACATACAGAAATTCTGAGTCAATAGCTTTACTCTTGGCATACAGAGAGTGAATGTCAACAGCTTACTCCTTTAAACATACAGAAATTCAAAGTCAGCAGCTTTACTCTTAACTTACAGAAAGTCAGGTTCAGCAACTTACTTCAAACATACAGAAAGTCAGGGTCAACAACTTACTTCAAACATACAGAAAGTCAGGGTCAACAGCCTACTGTAAACAAACACAAGGTCAGGGTTTGGTTCTGGTCTTAACAATCTCTTTTTAACCAGATGACCATGGCCACCTTATAATTGCTCTTTTGAAATACTCCAATGTAACTAGGTCAAACAATATCAGAGATTGAAAAATTTCCCTGATTTCAGTATTTAAAGCTCTTGTACTTGAACCTTGATCTGATGACTTCACAATCAGTAATTGTTTCCTTTAACATTTTTTTGTCTTATTCATCCTTGCTGTGACCTTGATCATGGACCTAGCCTGTCTCCAAGCTGAAATATCTACCAAATTATTTTAAAGACTAAATGTCTAATTTAATAGATACCATACAGAAGTAAAAAATTCCTACAACTTTTTTTGTGTACAACTATTATTCTAAGGTGGTATTTTGATTTTTTCATCAAGCTTATACTAAGATGTTTGATCATTTGACAGAGTATTGAGTCGGAGTGCAGAAATCTATAAAGATTTGATTAGGTTAGGAAGTTATGCAAACAAGGAAAAGTAAATACTAGGACTCTCATACAACTTTCATTCACATGAAAAATATTAGCTGATTGAAGGCAATAATTTGATTTGATTGAGATTAGACTTGATTGGTCTTGTACTGATAAATAACTATCTGGAATTGTACCCATATAGCACTGATAGAACATATGTGTCCACTTCAGCCCATAAGTGATGTATTTTGGCCGGTCAGTATTTATTGTGGTGTAATCAATTGACAATCTATTTTATCCATTATTGAACAATTTATCATTGAAGAGTAATAACTCCAAGTCATGATGTAATAAACTTCTCTTGATAAAGCTTTACTTCTTTTCCTGTTTTTCTGATTTATTTTGAATGTTGTCATGTTTCATTCAATCAGAACTTGTCTTTTTGAAAAATGTGAAATGATTTGTCCTGAATAACCTTAAGCTTGTAATAACGGCTACTTCACAGTCGGTCATTTCTAACAGAAATTGATATATGATTGTTCTGACTAACAAAGCATACAATGTCTTCTAGTGTATAAAGTTTTAAGGTAATTTGCATTTACATTGGTCAGGTTTAATAGAAATGTATTCTGAAGTGAAGAATCATTGTTTTAATATTCACACAATTTTTGCAGTAACACTACACTATTTTCTGATAGCAACTTATTCACACCACAAAACAGAATTAGAATATTTGTGCTAGAATTGATAATAAGGCAATTGCCGTAAATAGCATTACTGTTGGTTTCAAAACAATCCTCAGCATGCCTTTTTGGAGAGATTGTAAAATAATGGTTTACAAATCACAGCAAAATTTGTTTGATTTAAAAATTGAGAATGGAAACGAGGAATGTGTCAAAGAGACAACAACCCAACCAAAGAGCAGAAAACAGTCGAAGGCCACCAATGGGTCTTCAACACAGCAAGAAAATCCTGCACCCAGAGGCGGGCTTCAACTGGCCTCTAAGCAATAATGTTTATTAGTTCAGCGAAAAATTGATGTCACACTTAACTCTGAAACATATAAATTAACTAAAATTTTTTTAAAATTAAAAATTTTCCTTATAAAAAGAAAATATGAAAGTCATAGAAATAGTAACAAACACTTATTTGATAATAAAATTTGTATATGCATGTTTTTTGGGGTTTTTTTTGCAGCATAAAAGTTGTATTATGTCTACTGGTTTTTTAAAGCAATTGCTTTCATGCTATGGCATATAGCCATCTTTATGACCCAGATCAACCCAAAGTTTTTTTGTGAAGATTCCTGGTCTGTCATTCTAAAACTCCTGTGTATGCTTTCTAATGAAATACATTAATTGAAGCAGTTGAAAAACATCAGTGGGTTTGAGAAGTTTCAACATATGTTCTTGTAGATGTATTTTTGTATTTACGGGGACAACCTTTTGACTATCAAACACATAGGAGTCAGATTGAAAAAGAGCATTTTTATACCTGCGATTTCGTTCTTGAGATGTTTCAACAAAATATCCAATCTTATCTCACATTATTTGTTTTAAATTAAAAGTAGCACAGTTTACATGTTCTGATTACTCTTACCATGTATTACAGGTCCTGTTATTTATTAAGGGTTTCCTTATTGCTGTTGATACTGATAGATTAACTCTGTAAACAAATGATATAATGACAGTGTCAAATGTCATAATGACCCTCTAGTCAATTGAAAATGATTACCTGTAATTCTCTGTTTACAAATCAAAAAAATAATCATAACTGACCTTGAAATGTCATTTGGGCAAATAATAACCTGTGTTAAAAATACATTACGATAAGTTCAATTTTCCTTTTTTGTCATAATTCTGTAAGGTTTATCATCTTATAGATGAAAAGTCCAAACGTATAAGACGCCAAGTTAAGCGTAAGAGATATTCACAAACAATTTGTAATTTTCTTTTTTCATAGATTGAAAAAAAAAGTTCTTCCATTTGGATATCAAAACCGGGAATGCATGACATATGATGAAACCGATATCCTCGTCTTTCCAGTGGGCAAGTCTACTTCGTTTTTTACATGGTAAGGTCTTATTTTCGTACGACGTGTTTGCAATTTTATTTCACATGTTTTTGTGCTTATACACCATGTTTCCTGAAAGTTGATAAAAAGCAATGTGGAGCTGTTTGTGAAATGACAATTTAATTTCATGTTTGTCTGTGATACCCCTCTTTTTCGAAATTATATGACGATGGCAAATATTGTATGTTTAAAACAGCTGAGCAATGTTGTTTGGGAAATAAGATTTAAGAAATGACTTAGTAGGATACCAAAAATATTGTTAGTAAGCTGAAATATATATTTATTTTTTACATATTTATGTCTTGTAAGATATTTTTTTTCTTTTTTTTTCCCAACTGACTTGACTTTTTCATGTGAAAAATCCGTAAACCAACAAATTAAAAAACCCCTGGCCATAGTGATGAGAGGGGTAAAGGGTAAGCCAGTTCCCAGGTTAATCAACAGTTAGCGTGCATTTCATGAAAATTCAGAAGCCGGTCCCATGGTCCCATCTTCAAAATCTTTAATCGGTATATATGAATGAATGATTCTTATGATAAAAAACTATAGTTTGGTAGAACATTCGTGTCACGAAAGTTGAAATCATCAACTGAATGGTTAGATTCAAACCAATTATGATATAATTAATATTAAAGCAATAAAGATAATGAAAACTGAATGGTTAAATTTAAACCAATTATGATATAATTAAAATTAAAGCAATAAAGATAATGAAGCCAGGTGCATGGAGTGTCATGTAAATTTTTGTCCAGTAATAAACACTTTACAAGGGGATAATCTATTTTGATTTCTTCGGGAGTTATACATTTCCGCACATATATTTGCCTCCACTGTAAGCTGGGTAAACGTGTCATCCCCCTGGGAAATGTAAGACATTGTAAAAATGACTTTCTTCTGAATAAGTCTTTTATTGTTTTAAGCATCCTCACTTTTCACTAGACAAGACTCCTGTCAGGTTTATTTCTTTTACATGTGGATGAAAAAAAGGTCATGAAAAAACATTAACTAGGCAGCAATTGGTTTAACAGCCTTTAAGGCTTTGATTGTGAAGTGTTTTTCCAATGGTTTGTGGATGTTAATGGCTGAAAAGGGGTTTCTGAGCCTGCTATTAATTGGTAAAACATTTTTTTTTGTAATTGTGTATTTTGTGAATCATTGTATATTGGGGAGTGATTAATTAGTACCCTGTCGAATGGTGGACGCCCTATAGTGATCAGTCTGTCCGTCCGTCTGTTCGTCCGTCTTTCCGTCTGTCCGTCCGTCTGTCCCTAACAAATTGTGTCCACTCTATATCTAGAGAACCGTTATGATTTCAAAGTTTATACTTGACATGTATATTAACAAACACCAGAGGGTGTGTCATAATGTATGTACAACTTCCTAGGTCAAAGGTCAAGGTCAAAAACTTTGGTTTTAGTTGACAACCCCATGTCCTATGGTAAAGATAGTGTCCGCTCTATATCTTGAGAACCGTTATGATTTCAAAGTCGATACTTGACATGTATATAAACCAACACCAGAGGGTGTGTCATAATTTATGTAAAACTTCCTAGGTCAAAGGTCAAGGTCAAAAACTTTGGTTTCAGTTGACAACCCCATGTCCAATGATAAAGATACAAATTTTTTACCACACATTATTCACAGCGGGCCCACAGAGATGGCTCCCATCTCAATGATATCTAGTTTAGTGATATATCAGATAGGAACAATTCTATCATGTGTCTTTATGTCCCCCTGGAAGTGACAGTTGAAAAATTCCAATTGAGTCAAAGAAATAAATGAATTTGACTCTGTGTGGGGAGTATTGCCAGTAGTGATAAATGTATTTGGTTAGTCTGCTCTAACATGGCCTTATAATACCATGAAAGTTAACTAAGTGACAAAGCCTGACTCATTGGATTCTCCATTACCGGTAATGCCACTAGAAGTCAAATTTGATTTCTCCCACCCCCATAATGTAAACATAAATAGATTTGTTAGACTTCATTAGAGAAATAAGGTGTAATTTAGACTGTAAAGACACTGATACATCTAATTTAATAAAAGTCAAAATTATTTTTGTGAACATACTAGTTAACCATTGGAAATTGGAACATTATTAGTTATCAGTTGTCACACATAAAAAAAAACTTATAGATAGCAACAGACCTATATCGTAGATACATGTAATATGAAAAAAAATTATAGTAACGTAAAATAATATAGAAAGTGCAAAAGGGATTTTTTACCACAAAGTTTGAAATGGATGAAATTGTAATTGTCTATGTCAACTTAAAGAGAAAAGGGAGTTGTTCAGCCAAAAAAAAATCAGGTTTTATAATGTGAAGAAAGTTATAATTTTTTCTATCTCCCGAAAAAAATATACAACTAGGAGCAGAATGTAAAATTTGCAAGCTCAAAATGTCTTGTATTTGGGAAGTAATGTTAAAGTATTACAATTACCTATTATGTGAACTAGCCAGAATGCTTGGGATTTGAACTTTAATATTTCCTAACTAAGAAAATGATATTAGGGTAATTTTGATTTGCCAGATCACAAACACCATGTTGCACTTGCTTTTTGTTTGTGGAAGTACACATTGATAAGACCTTGTATTTGATAAAAGAAAACAAACATGGAAATATAAGAAGGTGATATGGACCAAATATGGGCTTGTTTACAGGATACTTGAGATGTAGCTATAAACTTTGATTGGTTAAATTGATTTTCATTAAAATCAGCTTGTGCTATCTGCACGCTCTTGACAGAAATATCAATATATCATAGAGTATACACAGAATTATTTTTCTTATTTTTGACAGTTGATGGGACTTAATTGATAAACTGTAATCAAAACAGAAATAATATATTTATCAATACAGATGTTAATGTTAAAAATCTAAAGTTTCATTTGAAAAATATAATGTTCGTTATTTCAGGAGAATTATGATACTACTACCCTAAAAAGGTTGTTATCTACAGGAAAAAGGATGAAAAAACAGGTAATATTCAGTTAACTGTTAGAAAAAGATTGAGCAAAGAAGTTACAGCCCCAAATCAATATAATTTGTACTCAAAGGAACAGCTTGCAATCTGTATAACTCATACTTAAAAATGGGTATAACTCGCATTAAAAGGAACAACCCCCAATCTGTATAACTCATACTAAAAGGAACAGCCCCCAATCTGTATAAATAATACTAAAAGGAACAGCCCCCAATCTGTATAAATAATACTAAAAGGAACAGCCCCCAATCTGTATAAATAACACTTAAAGGAACAGCTCCCAATCTGTATAAATAATACTAAAATGAACAGCCCCCAATCTTTATAAATAACACTAAAAGGAACAGCTCCCAATCTGTATAACTCAGACTAAAAGGAACAGCCCCCAATTTGTATAACTCATATTAAAAGGAACAGCCACAATCTGTAAAACTAATACTAAGGAACAGCCCCATTCTGTTTAACTCGCACTAAAAGGAACAGCCCCCAATCTGTATAAATAACACTAAAAAGAAACAGCTCCCAATCTGTATAACTCAGACTAAAAGGAACAGCCCCCAATTTGTATAACTCATACTAAAAGGAACAGCCACAATCTGTAAAACTAATACTAAGGAACAGCCCCATTCTGTTTAACTCGCACTAAAAGAAACAGCCCCCAATCAATATAACTCATACTTAAAGGAACAGCCCCCAATCAGTATAACTCATACTAAAAGGAACAGCCCCCTATCAGTATAACTCATACTAAAAGGAACAGCCCCCTGTCAGTATAACTCATACTAAAAGGAACAGCCCCCTATCAGTATAACTCATACTAAAAGGAACAGCCCCCTATCAGTATAACTCATACTAAAAGGAACAGCCCCTATCCGTATAACTCATACTAAAAGGAACAGCCCCCTATCAGTATAACTCATACTAAAAGGAACAGCCCCCTATCAGTATTACTCATACTAAAAGGAACAGCCCCCTATCAGTATTACTCATACTAAAAGGAACAGCCACCTATCAGTATAACTCATACTAAAAGGAACAGCCACCTATCAGTATAACTCATACTAAAAGGAACAGCCGCCTATCAGTATAACTCATACTAAATGGAACAGCCCCCAATCCGTATTACTCATACTAAAAGGAACAGCCCCTATCAGTATAAATCATACTGAAAGTAACAGCCCCCTATCAGTATAACTCATACTCAAAATCTTAACTCAAAATAAGATATGTTGAGAATAGAAAATAACAAATGTACAACCTAGATTTATTTAATAAATAGCCTGTAGAAACAGGGAAAATATATATCTAACTATGCATTCTTGATTCTGTAGAAAGAGTTTCCAGAGAAAATATGTAATTTAATTAAATAAAGTTTAAGAAGTCATGTTTAGTAATGTTGTATGACAGTCATTCATGTACCCTTTCAGTCCAAACTTTTGAAGAAAGAAACACAATGGTATGGTTAAACTTCCATGAATAATGAAAATGACAGTCCTATCTTAACTTACTGAACATTTAGTTTTCAGTGCCATACAAAAGTGTTTAGTCCCATGCCAGGAGTTCATCACTTATTATTATCACCCTGCTACAAAGTGTTCAGGGCCATATAGTTTTACCCTTATTGGTCATTCAGTCATACCGTCATCTGCAACAAACCGTTATACAGACTTTTTTTTTCTAAACGCCTTCTCATATTGAGCTGATTTTTAGTATGTGAGTCTACTATGATGAGTTACAGATCAAGTGTACATTTATTTCCACTTTGTTGATTTTTGCCAAATTTACAGGCGTAGAACTTTAAAAATTTCGTGAAAATAACAGTTATATAGACTTTTTTCTAAACGCCTTCACTTAGTGAGCTGATTTTTAGTATGTGAGTCTACTACGATGAGTGAGGTTAGGGTTGGTTCTGCTCCGCTGATTTTTGCCAAAATTACGGGCTTTGGACATTGAAAATTTTGTAAAAATAACAGTTATATAATATAGACTTTTTTTCTAAATTCCTTCACATATTGAGCTGATTTTTTGTATATGACTCTACTATGATGAGTTACAGATTGAGTTTATGCTTGGTTCCGCTCTGCTGATTTTTGCCGAAATCACAGGCTTCGAAAATTTGCGAGCGGGGTCATGAGAGGGGCCATTCATGTCGTACAGACACATCTAGTTTTACCATTAGAGACAATCATTGGTTCCAGTCATATTTATGTTGTACTGTTGTCTCATATATCTATTTCTGTAGGAAATGCAGTAGACTGCAATATCAATAAAATGAGATGTGAGGTGTTTATCAATGAAACAGAAACCCAATGCCACATTCATAACCGAAAGACATTTAGAGAAATTGTTGGCTAATTTTTCAAGCAACTAAATGGAAAACTTTTAGAAACAACAGGATGTCACAAACATAGGAATTTAACTGTCTTGTCCTTTTGCTTAAGTATATCTTGGTTGTACATTACAATATTATGATGTTTATAATAGTCCACAACTCTCTAAATGATCATGAAACCAAATCTATACACTAAATCATGTGGTCATAGGGTTACCTGTATTTTGGAATAATTATATAGCCTTGCCCACTAACACCTTTTTTTTCTAGTGGATGTCAGAATTTTCCAGCAACTTCAGATTGTAGCAATTTATATATTCCTGATTAAATTGCATTCTGACTGCATGAAATATTTGCCACTGGACATTATGCAGTCAACAATTGATCAGTTAATAAACACAATTTTTATTTTTTTGTAGTACATTTCCATTAAATCATGTACTGAAATCTGATTAATTAATTCATATTTTCATTGGTTTTCCTAAAATCCCATTAACTCTTAAGTGCTCTTCTTAAATCCTGAATCTCAATTACTGATAATTGATTGAAGATTAATTTTTTGAAGTTATTATATTCAGATTTCAAATTTTCACATTTGAAAAATAAAGTATGAAACATTGTCTGTGTTGTATGATTACAAGGTTTTGGATACTTTAACTTTGTGTTCATATCAGGGGCACTTTGGGACTGTAGGATTTAAATTTATGGCTTTTTTCAAATGAAATACCCCTCTTTTGCCTCATCTGCTGATGATAATCCTCTCTATGTACTTTTAGAATGTTTTCTGAGACAATATGATTAAATTTTTATAGCAGGAAGTCTGAAACCTATAGAAACAGTATTGGAATTCGAAAAATTGAACCTAGTTAAATTTTACTTCTGCTTAAGTATACAAATTATCATTATTTTAGGGGACAGTGTTTTAGATTTAGTAGGATTTCTTTCCCCTAAATATATTTTGCTTTTGTTTAGTAGATGAAATATTGTGTTGTATTTGTAGTTAAAAATTAAGAGGTGTGGTATAATTGCCAATTAGGCAACTCTCCAACAGAGTTGAAATGACATGGATATAATTAATTATCGGTCACCGTACAGCCACATGATATTTAAGAAAAACGTCTGCATGCTGTCCTTGGGACACATTTTTTTTTTTATATTCCTTCCTTTAATTTAAGGAAGGAGTAGAATTATGTAAAACTGATGTCTAATGTATGAAATATAAGCACTTACAGTCTTTATAATCATACTGTCAAATCCAGCCACATTTTTCTATAGAAATTTTAAAATAGATTTCAGTGATTTCTCCTCCTTTTTAAATAAAAGAAGGCAATTTATTTTATGCCAAGTTTAAACCTGATCAGTAAAGTGTTTGATTTTAATCAAACTTGATAAAAATATCTACAAATACACTAAATCTTATAATTATGAGAATGACAAATTACACCGAACAATATAGTGCAAGAAAAAAATCCTATTTAGTATTATTGGAATTAATTAATAATAGTTGAAATTATTGATTCCTTTAATAATATATGTCATTTATTACATGTTTGAGTCATATTATTTTCATACATTGCTGTTACATTTAATTATTATTTTGATTAGTATAATGCCAAATATGATCAGTCAGTGTCTGCCACCATTGTTTTATAATTGATTTAGTAACACCTTATTGTATGATTACTCTTTTGAAAAATTAATAATGTTAATTCTGAAGGGAAATGACTGCTTATATTAGTAGGAGGAAGATAACGTAATTAGTAGAATAGAATTGATAAAATTGTAAAAAAATTAGCTATCAGGAAAACTCTTCCTTTGTAAAGTTATTAATTAATGGAATGCTTGTATATATTTAATAGTGTATAGTTTTAAAAGATGACAACTTTTGCCCCAAATTTGAATGTGAAAAGGCTTTATATAGATGCTCATTCTCTTGCTCACTATGGTCCATTTTTATTTCAAGGAAACACATTGTGATTTGAGAACCACAGTTATCTTACTTAGTATAACATAGTTTCACAACATTTGTGTAACAGTGACCTTTTTTTACACTTGATTTACTTGGGTTAAGTTTAAGCCCCTTGCTGCAATGTAGAGCATGTGAATTTGAAGACCAGTTGTCTGTTAATATGTCTTAGCCTTAGTTAACCTGTCCAGAAATGTAGCCACTTTACTAAAGATTTAAATAAAATGTATACAACAGTTTTATATTGGCCATCACCTTTTTGAGATGGAAATTCAGAATGAATACTTGTTCAAAATTTTTTGTAAGACTTGTGATCTTTGAAAATGTGCAAATTGCTGAAATTACAAATTACAAATTTGACTGAGAGTTCTACAGAAGTTCACAAACAGATAACCTCTTCCTTGGATTGAAGGTAAAAATATTTGTAGGTGTACAGGTAATGCACTTGGAAAATTAAAAAATGAGGCAGGGTCAAACATTTTTTGTGAGCATGCAACCCTCTCCTTGTCTGGGACAGTGATGTTTAGCAAAATATTTTTAAGTAATAAACTGTTGATTGTCAAATGGACATAAGAATGAAATCTAAATTTCTAACTGGAGAAATAAAAAACAAACCTAAAGTAACTAATTAGTACCCAGTTACAGAAAGCAAGATCACAGAGTACTTGCAGTTTTTAAAAGTTAAATGACAAATAGATAAATCTTTCTGTTAGACTAGGATATCAGTAAATAAACTTACAAAAGAATTAAATGAACAGTTATTATTTACAGCTCAAGAAAAATAAAAACTTGTATTATGCTAAAATTTACCGATATCAACAAAAAGTAGAAAATTAGTTTCTGTAATGAAATTGATAATTAGATGAATTTTGTTGACAATGTAGATAGGGGTTTAAAACTTGCAAGACTGTTTTTTTTTTTTTTAAACTTTATGAAGTAACTTTATTCTTTAGACAAATCAGTTTCAATGTATAATACAAAATATTATTATGTAAGTACTCACAATTGCCAGTTGAATTTCCTATTATTTAACCAGCAGACTTTATTAGAATAAATATCCTTGGTCAGACTTGATGAATGGACTTTTAGTATTATCAAAAAAAAGGTAAATTGTGGGTAACTTAAAAAAAACAAACACTTGAATAAGTGGCTGTTTCTAAAACTGAAGAATTGACTTTTACTTAATTAAAAAATATTGTACAGTGACAAAGTGTTTTTAAAAACACAATTGCTATGCACAACTTGTTGTATATTTTCTTTAAATTTTCAAAGTAATCAATGGTTACAACAAGGAATAACAATTAATTATCAGATATTGACAAAGCTATTGGTAATAATCGATGCCAAAGAAGATTGGGTTTGTGTCATCTTCACTTGATCTTTGTCTTTCAACATAAATGAATTAACAGTATTATATAATCTTTGGTAAAATAAAATTGAAAATGAAATATGTAGAAAATAGCAGCTGATAAACACAGTAGTTGGTAGATATCTGATTATAAATATCTTAATGAGAATCGGTTAAAACCAATATTAAAATCGTGACGTTTGGTAATCACACTTGCTCCTTGTTTACTATAGATGTTTATGAGTTTGATGAACAGATGATGAAAAGTTTACTAATATTTGACTTACTGATTTTTTTTCTGAAAATTTTTACAAGGCTATTAGTCACCTGTTGTGATAGAACATTGTGAACTTTTGTCTGTTATCACTTTAAAAAAAAAAGGAATTGATAAGACAATCAGAAAAAGTTGTATTCCTTTAACAGACTGACCATTTTGCAGACAACAAAAATAGAAAATTCAGATTTGTTTCTGACCTTTCAAAAACTCTATTTTCTGTTACAACTTCCACCAACAATTGGACAAACAAAACATGGTTTGTCTTTTCTGTTCTCCTTTTCTTTATACTACAATTGCCAAATCGAAAATGATACTAGAACCATCATCAACAACAGAAATTCATTCAGAAAGTCGCGAACTTCAAATTGGTTTCTTAGATTTCAGTCATTTGTTTCAAAAGTTCTGAATTTTTTTAGCTATAAATAACCCTTTCCTTTAAGTCATTTACCGTATCCAAAAGCATGAAACTTGCTTCAAGTTATGACTTTTGTGCAAGTCATTCAGTTTCCTTTGACCTTTTACTGTTTGGATGCAAATAGTTAGAACTAGATATTTCCTTTAAATTTTATGTTATATTTAGTTTTTAAACATTGTAATTGATTAAGGATGACACTTTCAATGTACCTATAACAAAACTGGATTACACCACCAAATATGTATTTCATATTATAGCAATTAAAACAATTTCATATCTACCCATAATTATTACCATTGCTCTGCAAACCTGTGAATCAGAGCTGCTTCTTGAGAATTGGAATAACTTGTACATTGTATAAAACAAAAATAACATTATTTACCTTTTTTGGACAGAAATTGCAACTTATAACATTGGAAGATTTCTAGGCTTCTTTTATACATAAGGCTTTTAATCTGTATATCTAAAAAATAAAGATTAGTCTAATAATTCAATGTTGTTTGTGAATATATAGAATATGCAACAGAAAAGATTTTTTTTTCTTGTGTAGAAATTAAGGTAGGAAGCATGAACATTATTATACTTTATATACTTTGTGTTTTGAGGTTGTCACATGTCTCGTTGATGTTAATTCACCAAACCCATAGTTTATTCATACAGTTTTGTTGTTTAATAAACGGCCCACATTTGCTGTGCATTAGGCCATGTTCTTGCAACTGCCTTCATTTTCAAACAGTCTTTCATAGTCCAAATGAAAAAAAGTTATATGTTTGATCACATTAAATCTCAAAAAAAAAATTTACATTTTGAACCTGTTAGAAATGAAGAAAGTTATTTTATGCATGTACCTGAAATAATTCATTTTTATCAAATATGTATTAAAGCAAAAGGCTTACTTTGATAATTTTTTGTCTATATATCCCAGAACAGAGGAAGTTATAGGATGAAATAAATTTCTTTTACCGGCAAGTATATGTTGAAGTAATATTGCTGAGCAGTAATACATGCAGGACTTTAAAATATGTGCTAGTGAAGTCTTTGAATGTGTAGCGATGCTATCAGAGTTAATTTGAAATGATTATACATCCCACTACCACCTCTCCATGTTGATAAGTGTTTCAAGGTCTAGCGTGTTTTTGTTTTTGATAAATATTGACTTAAATTGCATTTATTGGCCAGTTAATGATAGCCTTTCTTGGTCATTATTGGTACGTTATATTGAATACTATAATTATGGCTTCAATTCCAACATCCTGAAGTGGAAAATTTATGCATTATTGCTAAAAATATCAATTGAACATAACCTTTTGTCATGCTTAATACTATTTGGTCAGTTGCTGTTGTTTTTATGCCTGACTTATGGAAAGTAGTTACGGGTTACCCTTGACTGTCAAATTTCTTGTTTTTGTTATTGCGAACCAAATGAAACTTTTCCACAGATTCATCTATTGGTCAATCTATTTAAACTTTTGTCAATTCTATTGTCCCATTGAATAAGTACAATAAATTTTATTCCACTGTATGTTAAATTTGATAGCTTAATCAATGTTTGATTGGTTGAGACCATTCCACGTGACACTGAACAAAACTTCATATTCCCCTCTGAGTATCATATTCCTCTCTGAACATCGGGACTTGCCTGTGCGACGTTACGCACGGTTTATGTAAGTAACGTTTTGAACGTTTTTAAATTGCGACAGTAAAGTCACTATTGTGTTCAAAATTATTTCAGACGTAAAATCCAAACATAAATAATAGATAATTATCTTTTGATCAGTACTGTTTATCAATGTTTTAAATTATGTCGTGTTTAGATATGAAAACAAGCGGTTAATAAAAATGTATGTAAATTAATGTTTTATGTTCATTTACTTAGAGTAAACAAAGTAATGGCAGTGGAATAAAACATTCATTTCCCTTGGCTTAGGGAGATATGAAGATTTTTTCGCCCTCGAAAAGTCATATTTCCCTCAGGCGAGGCCCTCGGGGGAAATATGAATTTTCTTGGGTGAACAAATCTCCATATCTCCCTCAGGCACGGGAAATAAATGTATAGTATTCTCTGGGACCTTTAAATTTCTTCTAAGAGAAATCCACCACTCATTGATTAATTTACCTGAGTAAAAAAGTATCTTCTAAAGGATGAAAATACATGTTTTAACTCACAAAACTTTATGTGATGTTGTATTTATAATATCCATAATATATTTTCAATCTGTTCAATGTAAACAGTGATTCAAACATTAATAAAAGTTGATTTCTGACAAAATTTTCAACATTGTTCCTATAGAAATTTGTGTTTGACAAATAAAAACTGGAAAATGATGATGTTTAATTTAAGGTCTTCTTAAATGTATTCTATAACTAAACAAAAACAAAAGATTGGAAATATCAATTGGAACAATGCTAAAAATTTTGTCAGAAATCAACTTTTTATACGACCGCGGTCATACATTGGTATAACGTTGTCGTCGTCGTCGTTGTCTGAAGACACATTGGTTTTCGCACAATAACTTTAAGTTTAAATGAATGGATCTCTATGATATTTTACCATAAGGTTCAATACCACAAAAGGAAAGTTGGGATTGATTTTGGGGGTTATGGTACCAACAGTTAAGGAATTAGGGGCCAAAAATAAGCATTTTTGTAACTTCGAGACAATAACTTGTGTGTTAGTGTATGGATCTCTCTGACATTGTACCACAAGGTTCCATATGACAAATGGAGTGCTGGGATTAATTTTGGGGGTAATTTCTTCAAAAATTTTAGGAATTAGGGGCCAAAAAAGGGGAAAAAAACAAGCATTTTTCTAGTTTCATGACAATAACTTGTGTGTAAGTGTATAGATCTTTCTGAAATTGTACTAAAAGGTTCCATATCACACAGGGAAAGCTGGAATTGAGTTTGGGGGTAATTGCTTAAAACGTTTAGGAATAAGGGGCCAAAAAGGGGCCAAAAATAAGCATGTTCTAGTTTCCAGACAATAACTTGTGTTCAAGTGTATGGATCTCTCTGAAATTGTACTGCAAGGTACCATACCACAAAGGGAAGGCTGGGATTGATTTTGGGGGTAATTGCCTCTAAATTTTTGGAATTAAGGGCCAAAAAGGGGCAAAAAACAAGCATTTTTCTAGTTTCAGGACTATAACTTGTGTGTAAGTGTATGGATCTTAATGAAATTGTACTACAAGGTTCCATATCACAAAGGGAAAGCTTGGTTTGAGTTTGGGGGTAATTGCCCTAAACGTTTAGGAGTTTGGGGCCAAAAAACAAGCATTTGTACAGTTTCCAGACAATAACTTGTGTTCCAAGTGTATGGATCTCTCTGAAATTGTACTGAAATTTGTTCCACAAAGGGAAGGCTGGGATTGAGTTTGGGGGTGATGAATTATAAGGGGGTTCAAAAAATTGGAGGGGGGGGGTATTTTTTTTTCCCTTTTTTTTTTTTTTGCTCTTTTTTTCCTTTTTTTTTCTTTAAAATTTTCCATTTTAAGTTGATTATTTCTGATTTATATATAAAAGCAAATAATAATGATAAGGTTTGATTTCATCACAAATTGAAATATTGGGGTTCTTTGATATGCTGAATCTAAGCGTGTATTTAGATTCTTAATTTTTGGTCCTGTTTTCAAATTGGTCTACATTAAGGTCCAAAGGGACCAAAATTAAACTTAGTTTGATTTTAACAAAAATTGAATTCTTGGGGTTCTTTGATATGCCGAATCTAACCGTGTATGTATTTAGATTTTGGATATTGGACCATAATAGGTAAATTAAAAATTTTTAAGTTCTTAGACCACATTCATTCTGTGTCAGAAACCTATGCTGGGTCAAATATTTAATCACAATCCAAATTCAGAGCTGTATCAAGCTTGAATGTTGTGTCCATACTTGCCCCAACTGTTCAGGGTTCGACCTCTGTGGTTGTATCACATGCAAGCTGCGCCCAGCAGCATTTTATTATGATTAAATTGGTGTTTATAATAAACTTATTGAAAATATATTATTGATATTGAATAACATCCCATTCAATTTTGCATGTCCTTATTTAGTATTGGTACATGTATTTTGATCATTGAAAGTTAACTTTTTTGTTCAGGTATATTAATCAATGGGTGATGGATTTCTCTTACAAGAAATTTAAAGGTCCCATTAAAGAAACTCCACAATAGCTATTGTATTGGTGTCTTCCTTGAATGCCAACATTTTATATGTTACCTATTCCTTGCATGCCAACAAAAATATTTCAATGGATGTATATATAATAACAATAGGTGATTTTATAAGTATTTAACTGTTAAAAATATTTAGTGAACTTGATAAAATTGCAACATTTTATCACTTTTTGATAAAAAAAAAATAGTAGATATTAGGGTTAAAATTATTATGAATTTTAAAGAAATAAAGAAAATGAAAACATTTTTATTATTTTTTAATAAAAAAAAATGATATTTTGAGAATGGAAATATTTATTAACATAAGACATTTTAGTTAAATACAATTATATCAAACTAAAAAAAAGGATATTAGAGTTTTTTTTAATATGAACTATATGAAAATTTCAATTGAACAAGTAATTAAACTTTAAAAATCATCAGAACTAATTAAGTAAATTTGATAACTTCCAAGCTGGAAACTTTACAAAGTTTCAAGAAAATCCATAAAATAGGGAAACAAAAATTCCGATGAGTTGCGAACATAATAAACACATAACCATTATTATTTTATGAATCACTTACAATAAAAAAAAAGGGGTGTAGTAATATTACCAAAAAAATATCTGGAACAAACTGAACAAAATAAAGACATAGTAATCTAACACGTGATACAAAGTTTCAAGAAATTCCATCAAGTAATATGGGAGGATATTACAGCACATGCAACTATAGAAATATTGGAAAAAAACTTCAAAGACCAAAGAGGCTATTGCATACCTGCCAACCCTCCCGGGAGTCTCCCGCTCAAATGGCGAAATTCGGGAAATCTCCTGCTTGCCGGTTCCCTCCCGCGCGGGAGTATAGAATCTCCCGCTTTTGGATATTTCAACCTTGAATGACAAGTCAACATTAATTACGTTTTTGTGTCACTGATGAGGGTTGTTTTTACCTGTAAATCACAGACCATGTGAAATTAAATGGCTTCACTTGACAGCTTGGGTGTCAAACATAGTACTAATTAACAATCATTAACGACTTTTGCTTCAAGCTTTGTGTTATTATAAACATTTCAAAGAAATTTTGGGATTACTTCCCCTGTTTAATCCTGTTTTAAGTTACCCTTCTTAAAACAATGTGAATTGATAAAACAATATAAACTAAATACAAATTAAACAAAGAATCATATAAGGATGGCAATTTAAAGATTTTGTATGCCTTAAGACAAAAAAAATAATTATATTTGAAAAATCTCTTAAAAGGTCTATACTTCTATTCAATGGTAATATTGAAATTTATAAGGTATGTA